GTCCATTGCTCCTTGTTCTGCCATCTGTCACTACTGAGAACAGCCTTTCTCCATCCTCTTTGGAACCTCCCTTCAGAAAGTTGAAGGCTGCTATCAAATTCCCCCTCACTCTTCTCTTCTGAAGATTAAACAAACCCAAATCCCTCAGTCTCCTCATATAGGTCATGTGCTCAGTCCCCTAATAATTTTTATTGCCCTCCGCTGGACCCTCTCCAATGCATGCACATCCTTTCTGTAATAGGGGGACCAGTATTTGGATGCAATTGGACATGATAAAGGGGAATCTTATAACGACACATACAACGTTGAAACGTATTTTATCAAGATGATACTGGCTAAGCAAATTATGAGTTTTCAAATGATATGTTATAAGGTATAAGCTGTAGAAAGATTACTATACTAGCATGTAAGGTGTGAATACAAGGGGTGTATTCTGTCGCAATGGACTCAAACCAAGCTACTAGCTGAAAACATTCCCAGAGGCTCAAAATCCAGATTCAAATCTGGATTCTGCACAAGCTTGGGGCAGTCAGATTCAATGGAAAATTCTACTACAACAACCATAGTTTCATAAGAACTACTGAGGAACAATTGTCCTTTGATGCAGAGCTAGATAGGTCACAGACTGCACTTGCAGGTTCAGGGGCTGTTTAGAGACACTGATAACTGCTGGGGAGGAAACTCAGTGGCTAATGACCCACATTTGATGAAGAGGTTCTCAGAAAATAGTTATTTTTCAAGTCAAACAATTCTCAGTCTACACCTTACAAAAGATACCTTGCAAATTGGGAGTGTACTAATATAGCCTACAAACTTCAAAACGTTATTAGTACCAACCAAAAGCCTGATGCGATCACTTCAGCTTTTGGACTATTGCAATGATAGTTCTGTACAAAAGCTATATGTAAGTGTGCCCTGTACTTGTAGATAGCCAGTTAATATGAACAGTACAGTTAACTAACATATGCATTAAGTATTGCTTTTGTGTATGCAAGCTCAATATTTTTTCTCTCTATTGTATGCAACAATTTACTGAGAGATAGATGGTGGTGGTATAATAAAGCAAGCAAAAAAAATTATTTTCTAGAACCCAATGATATGTTTGCCAGTGGTTCCTTTATGCATGGCTTTGATTAATTTTCTACCAGATCTCACATGGAGCTGTTATGAGGGTGTTATTTCATGGGACTGGGCACACTAGAAAGCCAAAATATGAAGGAAGACTGGCAGGAACTCAAGAAGTTTTTAGGATTTTACAAGTAAATAGTTCCTAACTTGTTCTTTCCCCACCAAGAGCTGTCCACCTCCTTCCCATACTGCGTTGCCTATTGCATTAGTCTGGGAGCTGACCTTGTCCGTGAAGACAGAGGCAAAGAAAGCATTGAGTACTTCAGCTTTTCCCACATCACCTGTCACTAGGGTACCTCCCTCATACAAGTAATGGCCCCACACCCTCTCTGATGACCCTCTTATTGCTAACAGCCTGTTTAGGCCAGCACTTTTGACAGCTAATAATAGAAATTGACTGAAAGTCTTGTGCCGGACCAGAAACATCTACATGTTTTACGTCTTAAATTACATCAGTTCCCTGACCTAGTTAATGACAGGGTGTGGCCTGGTACCTGTGTCCCCCACCCTAGAGTTCCACCTACTCAGAGAAAATGGCTGTTCCCTGGCTGAGAAAAGCACGTGCTGCTGGGTTGGAGTTGGTTGATTGTGTTCACACCCTTTAAGGCAATGTGACATGTAGCCAGTTGTGGGAGACTTATCACACCAAGCTTGCACCTTGCCCTGGAGATACTTCAAGCCTCACCTGCAGTGTGATGAAAGAGTGGTTGTACCACATTCTTTATGTGCCAGCTGTATGTCCATTGATAGATCCCTAGGGGAGTGGTGCATTATGGGTATGTCCTTCCTGTGCCAGTGTCAAAAACTTGGTATGTGCTTGGCAGGCAGTCACTTGGCCTTGGTACATGAAATAATCTTGACAACTTCCCTTCAAAGCTCAACTCTACAAACTAAAGAAAGATTTAAAATGTCAACACGATAAAATGTGATGCTGGGCCAGATCTTTACGTGAGGTAAGTTGGAATAGATGCCTTGAAGCCAATAGCCTGTACACTAATGTATACCTGCTGAGATTCTTCTGCCCTTTATCATTTCACTGCCACCCAGAGAGCAGAGCAGAGGCCAGCAGAGCCAAAGAGTTAATTGATCCATTGAGAGCTGTTAAAAATATTGGACATGTACCTGACAAAATGAATTCTGATCTTTAGTGTCCAGCACTTGTTTTACAAGCTAATCTGGTTTCTGACAGCCTGGGATCTTAGCCAAATGTAGCAAAGGATCAAACTGAGGTGAAGTTGGAAGATTGCCTATTCCTTGTCAAAACTCAATGAGCTGGATGGACTGAACCAGTGAGAACAATCCACAGAGGTTCACTCAGCTGCCATGGTAACAAAGACATGCATTTGTTCAAGGCTTTGCTTGTATCTGTTGGCCCAACGGGATCTGCTTGTTGAACCATGCCTTTACGCGGGGTGACATGAAGGGACTTTGGCCAGGCTCTAGAGTCAGAAATTGTTCAAAACAGGTTCTGGAAGGCATTTTTACAAGTTACCTGTTTCCCCTTTTTACTTTGCTGTCACATGTTCTCCTCAGCAGACAGAGTGCAAGTAGGGAGAAGCAGTCAAGTTCTCCATGCTGAAGTGCTGGTATACCAGCCTCAAGCAGGGTAATGCTTGAGGCCTACACTCTGAACGAACTACACACAACTGAGCAACAATTCAGGGCAAGGCCTAGCATGAATATAGGTTTTGAAAAGCTCAGGAATTTAGGGAAGTAATATTAAAATTTTGCCTCAAAATATATTTGACTACCAGCCAGAAACTGCTCCAAAAATCCATTCTGATTTCTCAGATAAATTACACATGAGGGAAAATTAAAAAGATCTCTTCAAGTTCAAAATCATTTAAAAAAAACCTTACAAAATTGCAAGATTTTTTAATGGAAAGAATTGTTAACAAATGAATTAGTTATAGTGTTGTTTATTTGAATCTATTTTGTCCTGGACCATGAAAATAGATTAGCCAATTTTGCTTTTGTTTACAATCAGTTTCTAGTTACTTTTTTTTATCCTGGTTCTCAGGCACTAGAACAAAGCTGCCATGAGTGAGCTGCAAGTATTGCATGAGAGGGAATGTTTATTTAAAAACATGCCCTCTTTTGATTATAATGAAACACAGCTGGAAACATTTTATTAATCTAGATTTTACAATTGAGACTGTGGGCCCAGATGCATGAAATATAATTTTTCCTCCTAACTCATGCTGATGAAAGCATATCTGAGCTCCCTTTTTGAATATTCAGGTATTAAACTCTTCTGATGTCATATAAGCACTCTCAATTCTCTATCAAAAACGGCAAGATCTGATATTTCAAATGCGGGAAACCAAGAATTGTAGGGAGAAGAGAAAATCCTTTCAGGCCCTTTTTATCCCTCATATACATACAATATGATGGGGACTAATTTTGCTACAACAACTCAAGAAAGAGAGATCTTGGAGTCATTGTGGATAGTTCTCTGAAAACATCCACTCAATGTGCAGAGGCAGTCAAAAAAGCAAAGAGAATGTTAGGAATAATTTAAAAAGAGATAGAGAATAAGATAGAGAATGTCTTATTGCCTTTATATAAAACCATGATACGCCCACATCTTGAATACTGTGTGCAGATGTGGTCGCCACATCTCAAAAAAAGATATACTGGCATTGGTAAAGGTTCAGAAAAGGGCAACAAAAATGATTAGGGGTTTGGAACAGGTCCCATATGAAGAGAGATTAAAAAGTTTGGGAGTTTTCAGCTTGGAAAAGAGGAGACTAAGGGGAGATATGATAGAGGTCTATAAAATCATGACTGGTGTGGAAAAAGTGAATAAGGAAAAGTTATTTACCTGTTCCCATAATATAAGAACCAGGGGTCACCAAATGAAATTAATAGGCAGCAGGTTTAAAACAAACAAAAGGAAGTTTTTCTTCACTCAGTGCACAGGGTTCAAAAAAGAGCTAAATAGATTCATGGAGGTTAGGTCCATCAACGGCTATTAGACAGGATAGGTAGGAATGGTGTCCCTACTCTCTGTTTGTCTGGAAATGGGTGATAGGAGAGTGATCATGTAAGGATTACCTGTTGTGTTCCCTCTCTCTGGGGCAGCTGGTATTGGCCACTGTCAGCAGACAGGATACTGGGCTAGATCACTGTCTCTGAAAGTGTTCCGCAAAATCACTCTTGGCTCCCGTTGGCTGCAAAGGACGAAACAGAGCCAATGGGAGCCATGAGGCTCCATGGCCTCAGCGCCAGTAAATAAACAAACCAGGGTGGCCAGTTAATGTGTTTCTGAAAGTGATTTTGCGGAATAATTTCAGAAACACTGGGCTAGATGGACCTTTGATCTGACCCAGAATGGCCGTTCTTATGTTCTCATTCAGAAGTGAAAAAGGGCACAAGCTCTCACCCCCTGTTTTTGAAGATACTGTGCTCTCTCCTTCATTTGCACAGCTGTTACTCAGGATTTCATGGCTTTTGCTGAGTTAATCAAAACACCTACCAGTCTGTTTTCAAAGCACTGGACACAGATGTAACCACAACAGTCCATTGAGGATAGTGAGAAGATGTTCAGGGCTTTAGCCATACGAATCTTTAAAAGCAAGCTCCTTAGTATGAGGGTCACGTTATTTGTCTTTCCCACAGAGAAAACCAAAAGGGTTTGTCTGCTCTGCAAACAGCACTCTTTCTCCACACTATAGAAGTTGATAAGGTAGTGATGGAGTCTAATGCATTTCAAGGGGAGGATGGTTTGACTAGCATGGTAAAGGCCAATTATCACATGCAGAGGGTTCAGCATCTGCAAAAGTCCATTTCCTGTGAAGAGGGGAGGGTCAATCTGTGTGACCAAAGCAATTAAAGAGAAGTTTCCACACGTGACTTGGAATTAAATGTCAGTTCCAGGACAGGACAGGCATTTCTGGGTTCACTGGGAACAGCCCACAGAAACCAGTTTGGAAACTTGGGTAAGGCAGCAAGCTGGCTCAAGATGTAACCTTTCTATTGTTTTCCTCGTAAGGTTCACTTGGCAGGGCTCACAGAGCCACCCTGGCTGACTGTATAAATAGCTACAAGTTCAACTGTGGTTGAAGAAGCCAGGAAGTTCAATATGACAGTACTGAGACTCACCTAGGCATAAATAACCGGCAGGTCAAGGTGCTGAAGAAAAGCAGCTGTGAAGCAAAGAACTGAATAAACATAATTTGAATGTCTGGAGGGGAGTCTGGATTAAGACCTGCAGCTGGAGGAGTTTGGACAAATACTACACAGAGAAATCTCTTAAAAATCAAACAGACAAACATTTAAACACAGTTCTTTCCCTCTCCTATCTCCCCCTGAAAATATTGACCCACCAAGGAAACAAGGCAAATCTTTTCTGTAAATGTGGGTGGTTAGCCATTTGAGTAATCAATCCAGTCCACTCATCATGCAATAGCTATCACTCATTTATGGTAAAACCCAGATTTTTCATCTTTTAGCCTGAAACCCCCTCAGACTAGGAACTATCATTACTTTGAGTGCTGGGCTTCTTGTCAGCATTACATCATAATGTCCAAGTACTTTTCCTGCTCAGCTACCCCAAAGTTCTGGACTAAGCAGTCCAGCATGCCATTGCCAATATAAACAGAACCTCAGACACTTCTGGCTTATTCAGAACTGCAGTAGAGAGGTGAATTTTGCCAGGTCAATACATAACCTCAACTGCTTTTGTCTTAGGGACTGGCCATGTGCACTAGGACAGTCACCAGAGGTGGGCAAGAAAAGAATTCCATTTAAGGTAATCATTCATATGAAAATAAATATATGGGGGCAGTGGAGATAGAAGGGGATGAGATCTTTAGTCTACCAGATGTTCTAATAATGATATACGGCCAAATTCTGCTCTCAAACAAATGTGTGCAAATCTCATTGACTTCAACAGAATTCAGCTCATGATTAGTAGTTTACATTTACAAAGCACCTTTCATCTTGGAAGATTCCAGAATGCTTTTCAGATACAGGAATGTCTTCATCTATCAATAAAATGAAGCAACTATTAGGGTGGAACACAGCTTCTGTTTAGCAAGTTCCCAGCCGCACTATCCTACAGATTTAGGCCACCTCATGGCCTCTCAAATCCAGCCAGAGTATGTCAAAAAACAGAAAGGCTTTTCATTTCATTTCTTGATCCATCTAGCATTGGAACTGAGGTCATGGGGCATGACTGCAGGATGACACCCTGTAAGATAATTGCAGAAATTCTCAAGAGATTTCCCCACACACATTCCTTTATTGCTCTGGGAAATTTTATCACAACTCTAATCAAGTGATGGAGAATTTTATCTTTTCTTAAATCAATTTGCTTAGTCATCTTTTCTGAACAAATGTGTAAATCATTAGCAAAAGCAGGAAATTATTCACCACACAGCCTTACAATGGCTTAAATTCATGCTCCTTCTCTTGCTTTATCATCATTCAAATGCCTCCTGATTTAAACTCACGCAATTTACATTTAGATCAACTCATGCAATTTCTGATGTTCCACTGACTTAAACTCTCGTGTATGCACTTCATTCCCAGCCATGTTTCCCTGGCTGTTTGGGGAGGGGAGTCACATTTTCGCCAAGCTTCTCTGGAACTCCAGAGGTTCTTTGAATTGTTCAAGTGGCCCTCTGTTTAGGTAGTAAGCGCATGCTCTCTTGGACTCTTCCCATCTTGACATCTCCCTCTGTACCTATGTTTTCCATCTTCTTCTCTTTCCAGAGCTCATGGACTCATTTCTGCTTGCGAGGAGGACAACAGCTAGATGTGCGGTGCTCCTTCCGGTCAAACTCATCATGGCCTTCACTGAGAGGCAAATAAGAATTGTAGATGGTGTTTAGTGAAGGTAGGTTGTGCAGACCAGGCTACTTAGAAATAGTAGCTGCACAGAACCTCATCCAGTTAATGCAAACAAGAAACTATCCCACTGGTACATTTGGCTAACTAAGGAGTTCTCCCTTGGACCACCATTAGCAGTATCTAGACTGACAGCTGATTTTAACATTGCCCTGGAAAGTTCTTTATAAAGAGGAAGACTACAGGCTAATACAGAAAACTTCCTTCTGTCCTCTGATTTCTGGAGAGAGAAATGGCAAAAGATCTCTCCAAAATATTAATGTGAATGTAATTAGTGACACAGTCATAGTACCATGAATAAGAGATATATGACAGGAGCTGTGACTATAATCTGCTGCATATGGCACTGAAAATGAATTGTTAAGGACAAAATCCCTGCTCAAGGCATTTCAGCTCAATTTTAGGCAGGTAGAGTTATTTATTGACTGAAAACACAAACCCCGATCTACATGCGACAGTTGACTTAATACTCTACCACTCTGCTGCTTCTCATCTCTGCCTCTTACAGCCCTGTTATCTGGCTGATGTGTTTTTCCTTAAACTTATTTAGCACTACCAGTTATGTATGTCCTCATTATTGTAATGTAGTCTCTCTCACATATTCATTTTCCATGGGTCTCTGTAGAACCATGAAATGACAAAATGAACATCAGAGATCACCTCAATCTACCAGCTGCTTTCTGTATCACACTTCAAGTTAGTCAGTGTTCATACAACACTACCCTTGGAAATCAAATGACTCCACTGCTTTAGAAAGAGAAATTATCTACTATATGTTTGAGAGAGTTTGTCTGTCTATTCTTCTGTGCATCTGTCTGTCTGTTCAAGAACTCTTCCTAAGCAGTAAAAGCTAGGACCAGAATCACCAAGCAGGTGAAAGGGGCTGGCTGGGGGCAATCCCCCCTCCCCACGGGACTGCCCTAGACCCAAGCCTCCCACCCTCCCTGTCACCCTTTACAAAGGGCAGGGGGGCATGAAGCTCCCCCCTTCCTCCCAGATTCATATAGGAACATTGCTAGCTGTTCCCCTTCATCAGGGAGCAAGGGGAAAGTGCACAGTTTGCTGCATTCCTCACTCTGGCTGGGCAGTATAGGGGGCAGACAAACCTGGACCTGCCTCAACTGGGGGACAGGCACCCCTCCCTGGCCTGTGCCTTCTGGAGCTGCAGCAGCCATGGAAAAGTGCTTCTCACCTGGCTCCATGCTGCTGTGGAGAGAGAGGGCTGGAGTAGTCCTCTCTTCCTGGGGCAACCTGCATACTGAACCCCGAACCCCCATCCCAGAGCAATGATTTAATTAAGAAAAACAAAAATTGAGTTAAGGACCCAAGTAATGCTGGGTAAATCTTCTAGTTATGAAAACAAATTAGAAACCAAGACAGAATTGTCTTGCACTAAGGGAAATAGCTCATTAAGCTAGAGATTTATAACATGCTGCCAGAATGCAAAAGCCTTAGGTGCTTAATTGCAACAAATTGCATTGTTCAATTGAGAGTTAGAAGCTTTTGGCACATAAAATGTAGAAATTCTCCAATCTGAAGTGCTTTGGGAATAACCAGATTTTCAAAAAAGAAATGTTACATTGTCCAAGGCCACAGACTCTAACCTTGTAGATCTTACACTTTCCTCTGAGCAAATCTCAGCGCATGGGGGGTACACGGGCAGCATGTTCCACCCCCTGCCCCTCAATGCCATGGATGGGAGGGGCAAGAGGCTAGCCAGCAGCCAGCGAGACCAGAGCTTCTTGGTGTCCAGGGAGACTATGGAAGGGCGGGGGAAAGAACAGTGCCATCTACAAGGGTTCAGCCCCCTATCCCCGCCCTCACCAACAGCAGTAGGGGAAGCTGAACAACATAGCCCCACCTTGCTTTTCTCTCCTGGCACATTGCTTGGGGGGTGGGGTAGAATTAACCCCACAATCAACAGTGGGAATCATTGACATGGCCAGGAAAGCAGAGTGAGCTAAGACTATGTTGTTCCACTTCCCCCACTGCTATTGGTGAGTTTTGGGGGGGTGTCAGACTCCAGTTGCCAACACCGGATCCCCAGCCCCACCAGTCCCCCGGGGCACATTGCTTGGGGGAGAGGGCTGGAGAAAGAGGCAGGGTGGGGGCAGAGAAGAGGTGGGGAGGGGCAGGGCTTGAGGTGGAGGGGGGTT